CCTTATTTTGGGGTCCTTATAATACGGACCCTGCTATTTAGGGTACTATATTGGGGTCCCCTATTCTCGGAAACTCCTACATGTGGCCTGTTTGAGCTTTGGACACATGCGATAAGATCTTGGGTGGTTGCTTGGAGTTTAAGCTGTGACCAAGGTTTTTCTACGAAAGTACCACAAGAGAGTACCCAATAGTGTTTCTACATCTGGAACTACACGTACTAATGCTTCGTGCAAGTATGCCCCCTATAGCCAGATACCTTAGGCTTCTTTGCGTGATGATCCTGACATCTACGGTTACCTTCATCAGTCGCTAGTTCCCTGCATTTCTCTAAAAGATATTAGTTCACTCATTCGTACCTTTTGACTATGATTTTTCTACGGCAACTACTGCTCTCGTTTGTGTTATTCGTTGTGCTTTTCATGTTGTTGATGGCGGGTTCTCGTTCGAGGGTAGTTCTCTAAATTGGGGTCCCCTCTCGGTCCCCGAAGACAGTACGGCACCCTTATGAAAGGACCCAAAAAAAACATTTTGCCCTTATTTACCCTATAAGCCTTAATTACCTTAAACATGGGGCAAAGGGTACCCTTATGTTCAGAGGGGTGCTGTGGAGCCCTGGGGATCGCAGGATTATGCTGGCCTTTGCAGCGCAGGACTTGCGGGTTTTGGGGTTTTAGGCCAGTGGTGCAGGGTTTAGGACTTTAGGCTTTCGGCTTAAGGGGTTTAGGGGTTTAGGGGTTGAGGCTTTAGGCTCGGGCTTAGGGTTCAGGGTCGGCTCATGCAAGTGCAACTCCTCCTTACAACAGTTCGTTATCGTCATCGAGTTGTTGGTCGCAGAGTTTCCAAATGCCACGGATAATGCCATGCCAGCATGCTGTCATGCAGCTCCTGGCTTCCGATGTCCGACCGGGTCTGCTCAGGCTGCTGGCATGGAAACTAGCAGCCTCAGCTAAAGCTCAATGCCATGGAAGCAGGTGTGGTTTGTCCTCGCAACACTGATGGCAGAAGTGCCCAAGAACGTGAAGAAGCCCAAGTGCACACGTACTTCAGCAACCCTACCAAGGCTCGCCTTATGTGCTCGCAGATGAATGCGAGCTTGTCCCAGCATAGGGGTGGAAGAGGATTTCTTTGGGTCGGGGAGGGTTTTCTTTGCTGAAACTGTAGAGGTTTGAGACCCCGAACCCTAGCTCGGTACATCCTGAACCAACCAAGCGCCCAAATCTCAGGCTGTGATATTCCGGCATGTCGTTTTCTATACACGCCAAACCCAATTCTAGTTATAACTTCTAAGGACCTTATGTTGCCCATAGCTTTGCTCGTTCCATCACGAAGGTGATCCTTGCTCGATCTGCTGCGGGAGCTCCGCTGTCGCCCATCAGCTGGCGCAAGGGGGGGAAAGGGAAAGGAGGAACGGTCGAGCAAGGTAATGTAAGGTGGGTGGGGCTTGGCATATGTACCGGTTCACTGCGAGTCGCAAGGGTGTGAGATAAAATTTTGCGGCGTTGCAGGGGGTCATGCGCTTTTGCAGTAGGTTTTTAGTATGTGCTTCGTCTTTACTAGGTTACTATATAGGAACTTGTTTCGAGCCCAAGTATGTGCCAGATGGGTATATGAACCCTTATGGTATGAAGCTTTGGTTTACAACATGGCATCGTCTCCTATATAGGGGGTGCCTGAAAGTTGACATGATGCTGATTCTGGGATGCTGACCCACTATGTAGGCGCTCCGCTACGACTCGAAAAGCAGCTGTGGGGTTGAACCAGACCTTCGAATCATCGCTCTGATTTCCCGTAGAACCTGCTACTTGTAGGAGCTTTCATCAACAGTTGATATTACTCTTATCCTTTCTATTCCTGCTGCCGTTACAACCGTATGGCTGTTCATATCACTCAGTATAAGTTTTTGATGCCAACCTAGATATTGATATTACTGTTTAAGCGACCTGTTATGTGGTAAAGCAGTTGTAAAACCTGTTTCAGAAGATATAGGGATTGGTTTGGCATGGTGGCTGAAGGGCACAAGGCTGGTGGCCTACACAGAGGCTGCGGAGTCACCCATACTATACTGCAGACAACATGGGCTTCTGACAATACAGTCAGTCTTGAATGTGATCCCTTAAACTTGGGAGTTTCCAAATTTCCAAAGACAGGAGACACTGATATAGTACCCGAAATAGTAAGATCCTTATTGAAAGGACCACAAAATCAGGCACCCCTCATTTTTTGAAACTGTCATTTCACATGAAAACCTAAACTTGCAGGTCCAGGGTTTCCTTCTCGGGGCCTGCTGGGTTTTAAAATTAGGATTACGGGTGTCTTTGAATGCCCGAAGCCAAAAACGCAGACCTTATTAAATCCTCATCTCTAAGCCTATAAGCCCTCTACTCGACAGACAAAATCCTGCAATGTGCTGCCTTGGATGCCGCGTTCCGGGAGGCAGTTCATGAAGTGCCCCGTGACGGGGAAGAAGGAGAAACGGAAGGTGGCAAAGCCGCTGTAATGTCTCGCAAGCTCCATGTGCCTCAAACGCATTTGGGCATGTGTCGTACCGTTTGAACAGTGTAAAGCTTTTTGACATCCCAAGGCTGTTGTGAATAAGTACTACTACATAGTAATACTGCTTCCAGATTCCAGACAAGAGTACTGTAAGTCAAGGGGCTGGGCAGACAGAATTCATGTCCTGCTCTGTCCCTATGTAGTCAGAGTATACGATCACCCAAACTTATTGTACAATTTTATGATAAAGGCCCTTATCTCGAAATCATAGCAGTTATTTATATATACATATATACATATATACATATATACATATATATACATATATATATATATATATATACCTCGTAAGGGCATTATTCCTCACCATCCCTCCCGAGACAGTAGCATGAGGGAGCCTATAGCCCCGAGACCGTGATTTGGCCGAGTCGCCAACGCAAAAAGGGCAACACCTTCGAGCGAGGAGGGCTTTGGAACACTATATAAACCGTAAACCTTGGGGTTTCAGGGTCTGGGGTTCCGGGTTAACGAGCGCGTTGGGGTGCCCAGCGCAAAAACCCTCGCGCAATTGGTTGGTTCGAAATCATGCCCCGCGGATATGTTGTGCCCTAGTAGGCTGCTGAACGGTAACAGTATTCACAGTAAAAAGCTCAGGACAGCACACATGCAAAGTTGTTGCAGGCCGTGATTGCTGCTGCAGAAAAACTTGAGATGCGAAGCTATCCCTAGTGGTCCATGTGCAGAAATAGTATATACTTCGGCCCCCATGTACCTATACAGGGATTGCTTCAGGGCCAATGTATATACTATTTGGACACATGGACCCTCATACATTATAAGCCCTATAAGCCCCTTGAAGGAGTCCATACAGGACTCCTACGTAATTGAACACATGGACCCTTAGGGTATGTCCCTCATCAGAGGACGTCTAGCTTGTATTCTCTGAGAGGGAGCCTGGGTGAGTGATATCGGGGCGTTTCCCAGAATTAGGGGCACCTTAAATTATAGGGTCCTTATAATAAGGATCCTACTATTTACGGTGCGATATTAGGGTGCCCTCTTTTGGGAAATCCCATATCGAGGCGTTAACAACGTGAACAGTCTTTGTTGTGGAAGGGGGTATATTCTATGTATGAGGTGTTAAAAGTATATTTCAAATAGCGAGCACCAAAATATAATACACTTATTCAGCCCCTTTCCTAGATCCTAAACCTTAAACCCCCGGACAGGCTCTGACACCCAAGCCAAAACGTTCTCCGGCTCACGAAGAAGATACCACTTTACAGGAAACCTTTCCAGCAACCCTCTAAAAGGAGCCCTCGAAGGAACCTTGAGCAGAACCCCTGTAGCTTTGCTTTTCGGAATTGCGTTCTGGTGTTCCTTGAAAGGAACACCAGAACGCAATTCCGAAAAGCAAAGCTACAGGGATTCTGCTTGAAAAGGGTTGTTTTGCGGGGTTCTGTTCAGGTGCTCCTTCTTAGGGTTCCTTTATTGGATTTTCTTTAAAGGGCTCCTGCATAGGGTTCCTTTCAAGGGCTCCTTCTTAGGGTTCCTTTATTGGGTTTTCTTCAAAGGACTCCTGCATAGGGTTCCTTTCAAGGGCTCCTTCTTTGGGTTCCTTTATTGGGTTTTCTTTAACGGGCTCCTTCCGGTTCCTTTATAAGGTTCCTTTGAAGGGCTCCTTCCTAGGGTTCCTTTATAGGGTTCCTTTGAACGACTTCTTTTTGGGGCTCCTTTGTTTGACTCGCAGACCTGAGCAAATGCTTGGCCTTCTGTATAGCCCTCTGGAGGATGCTTTACGCGGATTCCTGATTTAGGGTCTATATGGCTATGGCTCTTATAGGGTTTGGGGATGTTTACGGTTTAGGAGTCGGGGATCAGGGTGTAGGGCTTAGGATTCAGGGTTTAGGGTACGGGATTCAGATGCTATGCCATGCCCTTTCAAGCTTAACACACCCCCTCTTTTTAAAGGATTTTTGGTTAGCAATGATGCCCTCCTGTGATGCATCACGAATGCGCAGCTGTCTTTGGTTCCGAGGTTAGAAGGAACACATGCAGAGGGCGCCGCTTTAGAACCAAAAGAGCGCGCTGCCCCAAGTGCACACACTGCAAATCCTTAACCACACAAAGATGCATTGCGGATAGTTCCTAGGTCCTAGATGACTGTTTTCATCGACAAGCGGGTCTACCGTGGATGTTGACTATCGCACCGCACCTTTCCACGAGAATTTGTTTTAACAGACAGCGTGCCCTCATCAATCAGAGGGCAGGATCTGCAAGCCACCAGATGGTATCTGGCGTTTAGGGCATTATGATTCGAAAGGAAGCCAATCGTGAGGACGAAAACTCCTGCTCAAAACGAGACGCCAGCAACCCCTTATGTCACATTTTTTAGAATACTCAAACCAAAGCCCTGAACCACACAGGAAAGCCCCCTTCTAGAAGAGAGCACGCCCGCAGGGCGGCGATTCTGAGCATTGCGAGCTGTGAGCTGGGTTTTAGAGCCATGGCGCCTTCCTCGCGCACCCGGGGCGTGCTCATGAGCTCGGCAAGCTCGAGGAAGCGAAAGGTTCCGGAAGAGGAGGAAGACACGTCGGCCATGCAGTCGCGAGCCTGTGATTTAAGGTTCCCAAGGGCTCCCCTTAAGAGTTCTGTAAGGGTTTCCGTGCGGGTTACTAAGGGGGTCCTTCATGAGAAGAGGGTTTCGGGGGCGGCGATTACGCTCCGATTACGTTTTGTGCTAGGCTCTAAGTGGGTATTACCACTCAATATTCAGACCTCTTGGTTGCAGAGCGCGCTTGTACATTTTGCTAAAGGTGAAGTTGCGGGCGACCATGAGCACACCTTAATATGCATCAAGCAAGTGTGCTGATTTATTCACACGCCACATACCAAAATGATTCAACGCAGATCAACGCAGACCATAGGGGCACCTGGCATTTATATCCCATGCGGGAAAGATAAGGCCAACCATAGCTTTTTGCAGCTATACCCTATTGCACCGGTTAATTCCGTAAGAGATGATATCAGGAGCCTAAGCCCCATACTTCCCATACCCTAGATGCTAGAACCGCAATTCCTAACCCCAAGAGCCTTACCTCCTGAACCCTAAACCTTGAACCGCAACACCTCACCATTAGAAATCACTTCAGGAGCCTCATGACGTGGGATGAAGGTAGGTGGGGTAGTCAAAACTAGAAGTCCTGATGGAAGGGATCCCTAATCCTACCTAGCCTCATGCCACCTTTTCTAGGGCCTCCAGTCACTGAACTCCCAAACCGAACCTACGACCCTAAGACCCTAAGACTCTGCACCCAAAGGAACCCTTATAGATCCCTTAAAGGAACCCTTATAGATCCCTTAAAGGAACCCTTATATAGATCCCGTAAAGGAACCCTTATAGACTCCGAGGTCTCGGATGGAGTGGGAGGCCCTGGAAAGAGAGGCCAAGCAGCTCGTCCGAGCACGGCTGAAATCCGACGCCGGCCGGGAAGTCTCCGGCTACTGGGTCTCCATGGTTTAGAGGCCTTAATAACTACCTATACTATTTTGGGGGTTCCTTATTATGCTTGTAGAAGAATGGGCCCCAAAACCTTGGTCTAATCATTATGGTTCGATGGTGTGTGGTTTAGGGTTCCTCTACAAGGGATCTATAGGGCTCCTTTAAGGGATCTATAGGGTTTAGGGTTTGGGGGTTTAGGGTTTAGGGTTTAGGGTTCGGGGAGGGTTTTGGGTTTAGGGTTTATAGGGTTTGGGGTTGACTATCACTGGTTAGGGTTACGGTTTGAGGTTTGCCGGATACCGTTTCTTGCTATGGTAAGTTGAACTGTTGTAGAAGCGCTCAGGCTATGACGATGTTGCAGGGGAAGGCAACGCGGATTTGCCGGAGCCCGATGAACCCAGTCAGGACCTGTGCCAGGGTGGCTTTTTCTTCGAGGTCCCTACGGCCCCATTCAAGAACAAAGTAGGGGCCTTCATTTTCAGAAGTGGTTCATGTTTCACAGCCCCTAATTGTAATAGGGCTCTGGGGGTAATTATACTGAACCCGTAACGACGATAAGGGGCCCTACGCGATAGTATTGTTCATTATACGGGCATCTATGGCAGGCAGATCGATGAAGGTCCCCTTGTCGTTTCTCCTTAGACGGAGATTCTTTCATTAAAGAACGCTGAATAAACGATGATAGTGCCGTTGAACAACACATTCAAGCTTGAAGCACAAGCCTATACAAGTCTTCAGTTGACAGAGCGTTACAACTTCCAAGCTTTCCAATATATTGTAGAAGCTGTAGCGCCAAATCCATGTAAAACTTGAGCGCCGTAAATCCTAAGCCTCAAACCCTCCTTTCCCAACCCCAAAACTAAGCACTTCTAGCCACACCCATTAAAAGAAACGACTGGCACTAATCATATTCATAAAGCCAATAATGCTCATCATGCAAGAAAAGGTTAATACCCGTAGGAAGGGCACCCTCAAAACCCTAAATACGAAGGCCCTAGGCCTTCACCGGGAACTCCAAACCCTAAGCCCTAGACCGTCCACCTTGCCAGGATCTATAAGGGTTCCTTAAAGGGATCTATAAGGATTCCTTAAAGGGATCTATAAGGATTCCTTAAAGGGATCTATAAGGGTTCCTTAAAGGGATCTATAAGGGTTCTATAAAGGGTTTAGGGTTTCCGAAAATTAGGGGCTAGGATGCCCAGTAGTACCCTCATTCCCTTTTTGTAGTCCTAGGTTCCTTATAAAGTTACCCAATACCAAAAAGAGAGGCCTTTTTATTCTTAGGTTACTGGGTATCCTAGTTAAGCTTGGGACCCAAAAAGCACACACACCCAGACCCTTAGGAGGATCCAAAAAGCAGATGCCGTAATGGGGGTTTCCCAAAAAAAGTATCCTTAGTAGCATAGGGCCCCAAACTGGGGGATCTGCTTTCAAGCTCCTCCCGGGGGTCTGGGTAAGCAGAAGCCTTTTCTAGGGATATCCCTGCCTTAATCGACTTCCTTATAAGGGCAGTTATATGGGATATCCCTGTGCTCATTTTTGCTTATGTGCTTCTTGGGGGGCCCTCTCACACTGTAAAGGGCTCAGATATATCTCTCATTGAGAGGTGATGAGGGGCTACAGTGAAGGGTGAACCCCAAACCTAAACCCTAAACCCAATCTAATAACCCTAAGCCTTAAACCCTAAACCCTATGAGCCCTACACCGTAAACCCGCGAGGCCCTAAAACCCTAAACCCCTTAAACCCTGAACCCTATAGGTCCCTTAAAGGAACCCTAAACCCTAAACCCCAAAGGTCCCTTAAGGAGCCCCATAGGCCCCTTAAAGGAACCCTAAGCGCTAAACCCTGAGCCCAAAACGCCAACACTCATACCCTTAACATAGCTATTATATACCCATTATATAGCCCATCATAGGGTAGGGGTCCCCATTAAGGGTCCCTCCTACCCTAAGACCCAAGACCCTAAAGCAGGACTCCTCGCGAAAGCCAGCCGAGGCTCCTCCCGGAGATGACGCAAAGTCCGAAGCTTCCGGAGCCTCGGCAAAAAGGGATCCCCCCTATTTCCCCAAAGGGGACCCCATGAATTCTAGAACCCTGTTCCCCTCCCGAAACCCTAAACCCTGTAGAACCCTACTCCCCTAAAAAGGGGACCCTACTTGGAGGGTCGGGGAACTTAGTAAGTAGTTGGTAAGTAGACTTACAAGTACCCTAAAAGGGACCCTAATTGGGGTTATGGTACTTATAAGTCCCTAAAATAACCAGTTACTAAGTCCCCGACCCTCCAAGTACTCCCCTTAAACGGGACCCTAAGCAGATCTCCGGGCTCCCCCGAGGCGAGGAAGAGCCGGAGGACGCCGAAGATGGCGAGCCGAGGCCCCGGAACCGCCCGCAGAAGCTGGGCCTGATGTGGTGTATGTATGTGTGTATATATATATATATATGTATGTATGTATGTATATATGTATATAGGTATATATGTAGATATATATATATATATATATAGATAGATACATATAGATGTAGATATTTGAATATGCTTCTTATAAATATAGATATGTGTGGGTATGGGTATGCATGCATGTACATGTGCGTGTAGGTGAGTAGGTTGGTATGCTTGAGATTTGTATGCTTGTATGTACGCCAATGTATGGGTAGGCATGTATGTATACATGCATGCATGTATGTATGTATGCATGTGCGTGTGTTTATATATATATATATATATATGTATATGTAACATGGGTGTGTCTGTGTATATACATACACATCATCGCATATTGACATGTGGTTCCTATTTGAACTTTGTATTGCTATATGCGTGAAGTAAGAATACTGAGGTTACCACTGTTTGGGTTTAGTGCCAGTCTGCATATATATGCAGTTGTACTTGTATGTACAACACATGTGTATGACGTGCAGAAAGCATGTCCTGCTTGCAGTTTTCAGTGATTTCAGTGCCTGAAGTTTATATAGCCCCGAAGTGGAGCTTGCAGCGTACCACGAGGCCTTGGGACTGCATGGTTTGGTAAGCATACAGTGTGTATCTATAATGTGTGCGTGCGCGCGCCTATCTTTAGGTATACTTATGTGTGTATATATATATGCATATACATATAATTATTTATATATGTCTATCTTTTTAACTATATATGTATCTGTCTATCCATCTATCTATCCATCGGTTTATCTACATTATACATACATGTATATATATATATGTATATATATATATATATATATATTTATATGTAAATACATACATACATACATATACATACATATACATACATACGTACATACATACACAGAACAAGAAGTCTAAGCCGAAGCCCGGTGCTCTGGGCTCGTTCAGGAGTTGGGTGCTAGGGTTCAAGAAACTCCAAGAGCAACCCCAAACCTAGCATAGGGGCCTTAGTCATCAGAGTAGGCTCAAATTAAAAGGGGTCTATAAGGGCTACTATAAGGATTGAGTATAGGGGCCTTAATCATTAGAGTAGCGTCCCGTTTTAAGGGGTCTGTAAGGGATTTAGTATAGGAGCCTTAATCATTAGAATAAGGTGTCGGGGCCCAGTATGCTATATAACTATAATTAGGAGCCCGCCAAAAAGAGTATTGGTGATAGTTTAGGCTCCTATATAAACCCTTAGCTAACTGTCGTAACCCGGAACCTCCAAACCTGTGAACCCAAGCCCATGAGCCCAAACCTCTAAACTTGTAAACCCTATGCCCGAAAAGCCCAGGAAGAGGGCGGGACAGAAGAAAACTGGGGCGCAGAAGCGCCGAGAAAAGGCGGCGCGGGAGAAGGAAAAGGACAGAAACCCTCAGAGATGGGTTTTGGAGTTTAGAGTTCAGGTTTAGGCTGTATATATACATATATATATATATATATATACATGTAGCCGAGAAGACCTACCTTTTTCAGGTTCCTTTTTCCGGTGTCTACAAATAGCTCCTGAGAAAGGGTAGGCCCTTGCGGCTACATGTAGGGTTTGCACACTTTTAGTGCGCCGACTTTTTAAGATGGCAGATCCTAGCCATAAAATTAGGTATCCTAAAAAGGGGTAGGGTATGAGCCTCCAGGAAGGGTAGAGGGTTTAGGGTATAGGGTTTGCGCACGCTGGGCGTGATTCTTGACCCACTCATCACACGCTTGCGTCAGCATGTACCCAGAGTTCCCAACGCCCCTTAATTAAGGCCTTGAATCATAATATCAAGGCCTCTATAGTTTACGGCATATTCCATACTTAAGGGGTATTGGGCTCATGTAGTTACTTGCAGGTTCATGGGACTTAGTAAGTACAGTTATAGGTCCCTTAACTGGGGATAGAACCAATTATAAGTACAGCTACCTTATTTATAACCCTAGTTACTAAGTCCCATGAACCTCTAAGTAGTCCCGCCCAACCACTCCAACTGTTCTCAATTAGGGTTTTTGGGCCCACCTAAAGCCATGACCCTAAACTCCTGATCCCCCCCAAAAAAAAGCCAGATCCCGAAATACCTAAACCGCCCAGACCCTGAACCCTAAACCCTGAACCCTAAACCCTAAACCGCAAACCCTAAACCCTAAACCCGCCAAACCCTAAACCCTATAGATCATAGATCCCTTAAAGGAACCCTATAGGTCCCTTATAGAGGAACCCGAAAGGCGCTGTTGATCTTCAGCCTCATCTTGAGACGTAAACTTCCAAACCCCAAGCCGCGTAAAATTTCATCCGCTAGAACCCGAAGCCCCACCCACATGGGGAGTTTCTGGAAATTAGGGGTGCCTTTAAAGGGATCCTTTCAGGGTTCCTTTCAAGGGATCCTATAAGGGTTTAGGGCTTAGGGTTTGGGAGTTTCCGAAAGTTAGGGGGTGCCTTTAAAGGGATCCTTTCAGGGTTCCTTTCAAGGGATCTTTAGGGTTTAGGGCTTAGGGTTTGGGAGTTTCCGAAAGTTAGGGGGTGCCTTTAAAGGGATCCTTTCAGGGTTCCTTTCAAGGGATCCTATAAGGGTTTAGGGCTTAGGGTTTGGGAGTTTCCGAAAGTTAGGGGGTGCCTTTAAAGGGATCCTTTCAGGGTTCCTTTCAAGGGATCTTTAGGGTTTAGGGCTTAGGGTTTGGGAGTTTCCGAAAGTTAGGGGGTGCCTTTAAAGGGATCCTTTCAGGGTTCCTTTCAAGGGATCCTATAAGGGTTTAGGGCTTAGGGTTTGGGAGTTTCCGGAAATTAGGGGGTGCCTTTTAGGGCTTAGGGTTTGGGAGTTTCTGGAAATTAGGGGGTGCCTTTAAAGGGATCCTTTCAGGGTTCCTTTCAAGGGATCTTTAGGGTTTAGGGCTTAGGGTTTGGGAGTTTCTGGAAATTAGGGGGTGCCTTTAAAGGGATCCTTTCAGGGTTCCTTTCAAGGGATCTTTAGGTTTTAGGGCTCAGGGTTTGGGAGTTTCCGAAAGTTAGGGGGTGCCTTTAAAGGGATCCTTTCAGGGTTCCTTTCAAGGGATCCTATAAGGGTTTAGGGCTTAGGGTTTGGGAGTTTCCGAAAGTTAGGGGGTGCCTTTAAAGGGATCCTTTCAGGGTTCCTTTCAAGGGATCTTTAGGGTTTAGGGCTTAGGGTTTGGGAGTTTCCGAAAGTTAGGGGGTGCCTTTAAAGGGATCCTTTCAGGGTTCCTTTCAAGGGATCCTATAAGGGTTTAGGGCTTAGGGTTTGGGAGTTTGCGAAAGTTAGGGGGTGCCTTTAAAGGGATCCTTTCAGGGTTCCTTTCAAGGGATCTTTAGGGTTTAGGGCTTAGGGTTTGGGAGTTTCCGAAAGTTAGGGGGTGCCTTTAAAGGGATCCTTTCAGGGTTCCTTTCAAGGGATCCTATAAGGGTTTAGGGCTTTAGGGTTTGGGGGTAGGGTTTAGGGAGTTTGCGAAAGTTAGGGGGTTTAGGGCTTAGGGTTTGGGAGTTTGCTGCCTTTAAAGGGATCCTTTCAGGGTTCCTTTCAAGGGATCTTTAGGGTTTAGGGCTTAGGGTTTGGGAGTTTCCGAAAGTTAGGGGTTGCCTTTAAAGGGATCCTTTCAGGGTTCCTTTCAAGGGATCTTTAGGGTTTAGGGCTTAGGGTTTGGGAGTTTCCGAAAGTTAGGGGGTGCCTTTAAAGGGATCCTTTCAGGGTTCCTTTCAAGGGATCCTATAAGGGTTTAGGGCTTAGGGTTTGGGAGTTTCCGAAAGTTAGGGGGTGCCTTTAAAGGGATCCTTTCAGGGTTCCTTTCAAGGGATCTTTAGGGTTTAGGGCTTAGGGTTTGGGAGTTTCCGAAGGTTAGGGGGTGCCTTTAAAGGGATCCTTTCAGGGTTCCTTTCAAGGGATCTTTAGGGTTTAGGGCTTAGGGTTTGGGAGTTTCCGAAAGTTAGGGGGTGCCTTTAAAGGGATCCTTTCAGGGTTCCTTTCAAGGGATCTTTAGGGTTTAGGGCTTAGGGTTTGGGAGTTTCCCAAAGTTAGGGGGTGCCTTTAAAGGGATCCTTTCAGGGTTCCTTTCAAGGGATCTTTAGGGTTTAGGGCTTAGGGTTTGGGAGTTTCCGGAAATTAGGGGGTGCCTTTAAAGAGATCCTTTCAGGGTTCCTTTCAAGGGATCTTTAGGGTTTAGGGCTTAGGGTTTGGGAGTTTCCCAAAGTTAGGGGGTACCTTTAAAGAGATCCTTTCAGGATTCCTTGCAAGGGATCCTATAAGGGATCTATAGAGTTTAGGGTTTGCGGAAATTAGGGTGCTTTGGGGTCCTTATAATCAGGATCCTAGTATTTAGGGTGCGATAGTAGGGTCCCCTATTTTCGGGAACTACCACATTTCAGAGGCCCCCAAAAACAGAACAGTGTTCCTTAAGCTTCAATAGTGTTCCTTACGCGTCCTGAATCCAAATTCAGTATAGACCGCCCCCCCACCCGTAGAGACCCCTCAAGAACAAGCGAAAACACTAGAGCTTCAGTTCATAAGGCCTCAAAACCCAAAAGCCCTTAGAGCTAGTCCAAATCCCTAAACCGTATACCCTAAACCGCGGCTAGCGGCTAGCAGCAAAAGAACATAGGTTAAACCCTAAAAGCCCTTCGAACAAGTCCAAATCCGTAAACCATAAACTAACATTAAAAGACTATAGAAACTTCAGTAGAAACCTGTCAGATGCCGAGGGGCCCATGTGCCCCCAAATAGGGTTCCGTTAAGGATTCCCTTTAAGATTAAGGGTACCATACAGTAAACCCCATAAAGTTGGAAACCGGGTTAAGGCCAAATAGTGCTGAGATTCCCTATACATTAGTCTTAAGGATTGAGGCTTCGGGGTTTCCAACTTTTCGGTTTCGACTGTAAGGGTTTGAAATGAGGGTACCATACGGTATCGATAAGGGTTCTAGGCGTTTAGGGTTTAGGGTTTAGGGTTTTGGGTTTAGGGTTTAGGGTTTAGGGCTTCAAGGGTCCATGTGTCCAAATCGTATATACTCCGGCCCCAGCGTACCTTTGCGGGGACGACTTTCTCGCCCAAAGAGCGTTGTTGTTTGGGTACATGGATCCTTATTCCCTATAAGCCCTAGTATAAAGCCGATAAACGGAACCCTGAAAAGATAAATCCTAAAGCCTATGAGCCTTAATTATCGAATCTAAAGTATATGTTACTTGGGTTAAAAGGAATCCTTACAAGAATCCTTAAAAGAAAACCCTGAAGCCTAAGCATTATCAACTCTACCCCTATAAACCCGATCTCAATAAAGCCCATAGAAGGAAGCCTTAAAGGAATGCTAAAACAGATACCCTAAAGCCTAAGCCTTATCAAAGCTCAAGGAGAAGGACGAAGAACAGGACGACCGCTGGCTGAAACTCCGACTCCAGGGCGAAGAGAAGCCCCGGAGGAGTGCTGATGATTTTTACGGTTTGGGGGGTTTGGGAGTTTGGGGTGTTTCTAGGGTTTAAGGTTTAGGGTTTAGGGTTTGGGGTTTATGGTTTAAGGTTAAGGGTTTAGAGTTTGGGGTTTAGGGTTTAAGGTTTGGGGTTTGGGGCCCAGAGAACCCAATAACCCGTAATTGAGGAATATTCTTGATATATAGAGGCCTTACTATCATGATTTAAGGTGTATTCTGTAATTAAGGGCTATTGGGATCTCTGGGGTGTTTGAGGGGCCCGTTTTGGGGTTTAGGGTTTGTGGGTTTAGGGTTTAAGGCTCAGGGTTTAGGTTTTGAGGTTTAGGGTTTTGTTCTGGTTGTGGGCTTTTCGATTTTATAAAGGTTGCATCAGAGGTTTATGCAAGGGCTTGGCTGATAACGGCGGTCGTATACGGGTGTTGATACGTTCCTGAAGTGGCACTTAAGTGAAGCCCTACTTGGCGGGTCGGGGGACTTAGTAACTGGTTATTTTAGGGACTTATAAGTACCATAACCCCAATTAGGGACCCTTTTAGGTTACTTATAAGTCTACCTACTAACTCCTTACTAAGTCCCCCGACCCCCCAAGTAGGCCCTAACCCTGCAGCCCTGAAACCTTCTAAACCTCAAGGCCAATCTTGTTTATGGAGCCTTATACAGCCCTTATATAGTGACTAAAGCACTCTATGCAACCCTAGGCCCCGCAACCCAAAGCCCCTAAACCCTAAGCCCGAAACCCCCAAACCCCTAAAGATTAAATCCCTAAACTCCTCAACCCTAAGCCGCCACAACTCCTAAAGCCGTAGCCCCTGCAAGGATCGATGCGAATCGGATCGTCTTCTACTACGATTTCGACGCCAGGGGCAATCCGCGCAGACCTGTGGATCCCGATGCCGAGGTTGGGGTCCCGTTTCACAACCTTAGCTACATTGAGATATAGCTGTATGATATATATATATATATATGTATTTATACATGTGTGTATATATATAATATTATGTTATATGATATTATGTGTGTGTGTATATATATATATATATATCTGTACAGACAGATATAGATGTAGACTCGACCCCCTCATCTACACCTGGACCCTAAAGACCCTACCTGTTTGAGGGTTCTTGTTTATTATGTGTCCTGTATAGTAAGGCTCGGGGGATTCGGGGTTGGGGTTTGGGGGTGTAGGGAGGGTTGAAGAGTCGGGCTTCTTCGTACTCGGAGTTTCCGAACATTAGGGAGTACCTTATTTTGGGCTCCTTATAATAATCCCCATTAGCTCTTGGCCTTGTGTGTTTGTTTATTTGCGTCGAGTCATATGGGTGGTTGTCAAAACTAAGGTCCCTCTTTGGGTCCTTATTATAATACGGCACCTAATAATATTTAGGGTACCCAAAAAGGGACCATAATTTTGACAACCACCCATATGGGGGTGTGAAGCTTAGCCCATTCTGTTGCCGAGCGCGCGGCCTTCAAGAGTGTGCGCAGGGGTGTCCCTAGATTCTAAGGGTTTCCGACACCTCTACAAAGCTCCCTGAGGTCGACTACAGCCCATACCTCCAAGGGGGCTTCCAGCCCCAGGCTTGTAATTCGGCATCCTAAGCCGCCCTGGACCTTCAAACCCCCAAACCGAAACCCCAAAACGTCCCCAGACTAAGCCAGAGCCCAAAGCGTCCCCAAACTGAACCCAAAACCCGAAACGACAACTCCCCCCAAAAATAGATCCCAAACTTCTTGGCGAGGAGGACGCGGAGCCTCCGCCCGAGCCCTCCAACGGTGACTTTCGCTCGGCGCTGCGGAGCGACATGTGGGACGACAGCGAGGAGGATGAGGAATGAAGGCATTCAGGGGTCTAGGGTTTTGGGGGTGTTTAGGGGTTCAGGGTTTAGGGTGTAGAGGATTTTGCATGAACATAGGAGTTTCTCTGCTGGGTTTAGTGCTCACAGGACTTTCAAAATACGTTATAAATAAGGCCATATAAGTACAGACATTAAGTATTCAAGGTGTCCAGGGCTTTACGGTGCTTGGACGGCTGCTGAGCCTGAGCTGTACGGTTCGAACATTTAGGTAGTCGCAGTATTGATGGCGCGCGGCTGCTGTGGTGTACAGGCTTGGGCGGTGAAGGAAACGACCTGCCAGAGTCTGCCGTTCGCTTGCCCTACGGGTCCATGTATTCATATAGCATATACATTGGCCTCGTAGGTGCTGTGGGACCAAAGTATATAGTGTTTGGGTACATGGACCCTTAAACCCTAAACCCTATAGACACCTTATAGATACCTCCTGGAACCCTTAAACTAGGATGCCCACTAGTACCCTTGTTCCCTTTTTTTAGTCCTAGGTTCCTTATGAAGTTACCCAATACCAAAACGGGAGCCCTCTTTATTCCTAGGTTACTGGGCATCCTAGTTATAGATACCTCCTGGTGCCCTTCAAGAAACCCTTAAAGGAACCTATAACCCAATAGACACCTTATAGATACCTCATGGTACCCTTCACGGAACCCTTAAAGAACCTATAACCCTATAGACACCTTACAGATACCTCCTGGCACCCTTCCTTCGGAACCCTTGAAGGAACCCTGTATGGCTACCCCTAATTTTCGGAAACGGACATAGATCCCTTATAGGATCCCTTCAAGGAACCTATAACCCTATACACACCTTCTAGATACCTCATGGTACCCTTCAAGGAACCCATATTAGGGTCTAGGGTTTAGGGTTTAGGTTTAGGGTTTAGGGTTCCCTTAAAGGAACCAACCCTAAACCCTAAACACTATAGATTCCTTATAGGATCCCTTGAAGGAGCCCTTAAAGGACCCCATTTGGGCACGTGGGCACCCGTAGGGTTGGCTCTGCTCAATTCCCCAGACCCCGATCCCCAAGGCTTGCGGAAATAGAGGGGCCTGAATACCTAGGGTTCCTTTAAAGGGATCCTTTCAGGGTTCCTTAAACGGATCCTATAAGGTATCTAGAGGGTTTAGGGTTTTGGGAGTTTCCGAAAATTAGGGGTACCTTAGGGTTCCTTTAAAGGGATCCTGAAAAGGGATACTAGAAGGGATCTACAGGGTACTATGACATAGGGGCTTGAATATTTGGGGGGGGTTGGGGGTTTAGGGTTCAGGAAGTACCCATACTAATTTTGTGGTTCCTTATTATCAGCATAGGATAATGGACCCCAAATCCCATATTACGGCCCCTATAGTAGCCGTCTTGAGACAGTTGGACAGGCATTTTGGGCCACCACCATGTGTTGTTCTGCTCCTTCCGTCGGATCGAAGAAGCTGGTAGACATGGAACAAGCTCTGCAAGACCCCGTAACACTATGGTGTGATTTTTCATAAGAGAAGTCTTACCCTATAGAAAGATTGCATCCACCATTTAAAACCCGATCTTCATCTAAACATGCACCAATAGAGATGGAGAGCAACGAGATGTAGCCGCTCTGACCCTAACCCCACACCCTGCACTGCAAGCCTTAGATCCCGCTCCTTCACGCCCATCCATTATCATGTCGTGCCACATTTTGGCCTGATGGCTGAGGCCGGGTTGGGCTGACCTGGTGATACCCTTGAAGTATGGTTTGCTTTCAGACGCTGCGGAATGGTTTGCCGAAGCTGTTGCTCAGAAATGGGAAAAGAGAGTTTCTAAGTAGACCTTGAGATAGTTTTGTCGGTTCGGATATCCACTAAAGTTCAAGGTCAGGAGGCTTAAACGCCCGCAAAAGTTGTGACCACACGTTCACGCGCATCTCCAAGACGAAACAACAAAATCTTAGGCCACGACTTGGGTACGGCCCCCTCTCAGTAACAGTTGGATAATATTCAGAATATAGATATATAAGGCCCTTAATAGTAGCCCTATTATATGTAGACTGTTGCTGTATGGGGGCCGTACCCAAGCCACGACCTTCGTGCGAAGATGCAGGTTTCGAGCAGAATCCCTTCCCCCTACTTGGGGGGTCGGGGGACTTAGTAAGGGCTCCTTTAAAGGGGATTCTAAGGGTTCCTTTAAAGGGCTCTATAGGGTTTAGGGTTTAGGGTTCAGGGACTTAGTAAGTAGTTAGTAAGTAGACTTATAAGTACCCTAAAAGGAACCCTAATTGGGGTTAAGGTACTTATAAGTCCCTAAAACAACCAGTTACTAAGTCCCCCGACCCTCCAAGTAATATTAAACGGCCCCCCCTTCCCCCCCTCCCTAGTATAAATTTTGATTTCCGGGATTTTATCTTCATGTTGGGGGGGGGGGGGGGGGGGTTCGGGGCATCCACGTATGAGTCGGATTGAGGGTAATAATGAACCAGACACAAAGACCGCCCATCACGCAGCCACTCCGGCTGTAGAGCAGACAGTTCCGCCCTAAAGCCCTGAACCGTACAGCCCCAAAGCCCTAAAGCTTAAACTCTATAAAGCCCTGAGCCCTAAACCCTTAAACCCTAAAGCTCTGGTCTCTTCGGTCTGATTCGTACTGCTGTAGTCTTTGGCTCTATTAAAACTCATACAATCCTAGCTCCCCGTAATGTTCTTAATTGACTTTCAACTGTGGGCCCGAAATCTCGAAATGGCGGCGAGATAATTCTTTATTAGGGGGGTTCACCAAATAAATACATGCACACCACGGAAGCCTCAAACCCTAAACCCTAAACCAGACCCCGCTAGCTCCCGAAACCCTTGCACCCAAATCAGTCCTTGAAGCCCCAGAGCCTCAACCCTTATGCCGCTGGAGCCCAAACCTTCGGTTGAAGATGATAGTAGCAAACTGTAACATAAGAAGAACTTATGTAAGATTAAGCAAAATAACAAAATCAACATCTTCATTCTTTGGATACTCGCAATAGTAATGATCGTAGAAATAGCGATCATGATAATTGTAACAATACGGTTGGTGATATAAATCCTGCATTACCCATAATAAGGAACATACAATAGTTCCATAATTCCCGTACTTTAGGGCCCTTAAGGTAATGTAGGTTGTATATCATCATCCGTACCATCATTGTCAGGTGGCTCCGGCGTCGGTGACCCCATCCTCGCCGAGTCGTCGGCCGCAGGCCTGTTCCCGTGTTTGGTGTTTTGTTATTCTAGGGTGTTGGGGCTTTAGGGCTTCATTTAGGGTTTCGCCTTTTTCGGAGTGAGTGTTTTCGGGTTCAGGAAGTAGTTTCGATTATCATGATGATGATGAGCAAGATCATGCCGGTTGGGCCTTCTTTCCTGTCGTATTGTCGTTGTGACGATTGTTGCGATGATCGCGTAATTAGTATTGTATATAATGTACAACATGGTTACTCCAGTATTTTATTACTAGCAGGATGTCTGCATTATATGGTTCGCGCACAGTCGTTAGGGTCTTTGAGTTTTTGTTGCGGGCTGTGGGTGTCGGTGCAGGGCTTCGGGGTCAAAGTGTAGTTGAGGGCTTGGTTCCTTATCATTTCGGTTTGTAGGGCTCTGGATTTAGTGTTCGGGTTTTAGTTTGTGGGATTAGGAGCTTAGTTTGTGGGGGATAGGTTTACAGATCTTTACAGGCTTACTCAACCCGGTCATAACCCCTCGGAGCTTACACGGTTCAGGGTGCAAGGGGCTATTCATAGGGACCCTTAGGGGCTCGGAGGGGGGCAGGGGACCATACTTCCTTAAATGGGCCTTATAAACCCAGAGACTCCAATATCCCTTAATTAAGGAATAGACCTTAAATTATAGTAGGATCCCTAATAAGATTTAAGGTATATTCCTTAATTAAGGGATATTGGAGTCTCTGGGAAGTCCTTGTTATGGGTATTCAGGCCGCCTACCCTCCCAGGGTCCCTATGAGGCTATGCTACGGGAAGGGCAAAGGCCACGCAGATCCGAGAGGCTTGATCTTCACTCTCAGGCTAACTAGGACCCAGAGTAGGCCCTTATTCTTGTTTTTAGGGGTTTAGGTTCCCTTGTAAACCCCTTGAAACTAAAAAAGGGCAGCCTTTTTATTCCTAAACCCTACACCCTAAACCCTAGGGTTTAGGGTTTAGGGTTTAGGGATTTTATTCCTAGGTTGCCCTTGGTCTAGCTAAAGCCAGACACCCTACGCCCATGTCGCAAGTTCCTGTGGTGACAAGCCCCATTTAGGTTAGGACTTACAGTAGGCCCTTATTCCCTTTTTTAGGGTTTAGGTTCCCTTTATAACCCCCTTTAACCCAAAAAGGGCACCCTTTTTATTCCTAGGTTACTCTTAGGTCTAGTAGGAGTTTCCGAAAATTAGGGGACCCGAATATAGTACCCCACGAGTAGGATCCTCATTAAAAGGACCCCAAAATAAGGTACCAGAATTTTCGGAAACTCCCTTTTCAGCCAGTTTGTACTTGCCTTAAGAGCAGCGGGGGAGCCCTAAACACTAAGCCCTGACCCTAAATCCCTGAAGCTCTTTCCCTGTATAGTATATACTTTGACCCTAAGGTACCTATAAGGGACTCTTTTCAGGCGAAAAGTATCTGCTATTTGGGTACATGGACCCTTAGGGTTTATGTTCAGGCAGATGCCTCCCCGACGCACACCTCCGGAGCCGTCAAGACCTCGGAGTTACGCCGAAGAAGCCGTTTCAGGCTGAATAATACAAGGGCCTGAATCATTAGAGTAGGGTTTTGGTGCTCCTTTAAAAGGCTCTATAAAGGGTTTCTAAGCGAACAAAAAAGTATAGGGGCCATATAATTAGAATAGTTTTTTGGCTTCCATTATACTATACATATAATAAGGAACCCGCCGAAAGAGTATTGGTAAGTATGTAGGCCCCTATAATAGGGATTGGGATTGAAATTTGTTTAGAACTCAGGGCTTTCCGGGCTTCTGGCCCCACAGGTTTGCATGGGT